TCGCGCTGTCTGGACAGCCGTTCTTCGCCTCCAGAAGCACCGACACGATGCCTTCCCTCAGTATAACATCCTCCCGGGCCACTCGCGTATGTGCATCATAATTCTCATACTCGGAGATCTCCACGCGGGGCATAAACGTCGGTGCCAGGACGTGCAGATTGGGCGCAACAGTCGGCTAGAAGCAAGCGAAATAACTCGGAATAAATCACTCAGACGATTACAGTTATCCGGTTGAGGCCTCTCATGGTCATTGGCTCCCGACTGCTCTCAGCCAACGCCCGCAAAGATGCCCTCCGCTGGGTTTGAACTCGGGTCAAACAATGCAATTCGGGGACCATGTTGCCCAGCCGGGGCGAGTTCCGAAAAAGCCGCGTTGCCAACATCTGAACCATCTAGTGACTCCTCTCTCACTCAACTCAACAATGATCAGCATTAACTCAAATAGAATCATCATTACTATGGCACCACCGACGTTGTGCAGTGTACAGGTATCCATAGCAGGTAACGCAACCAGACGGTGACAAGCCTGTGAGGTACGGAAGAATCAACTAACAGGCTGCTATTTCGTGGTACTACTAAACGCATTACTAGAGCTTACGGGACCTCTACTATCTGAAATACCGGGACGACATGAGCGCGTGATGGGACAGGCACTAAAAATGCCCGCACTGGGGATCGAACCTGGAGCCTACAGATGATAAAATTCATGCAAAACTGTCGCCCTCAATGTATCAGACTAGTCAATAGAGTTCGTTGATTGAATGTGTTCCGATTAGCTTCGCAAATGGATGCCCCACCCACCGTACAGCCAGGGGATGTCTCGTCGAGCTATAAGGACCTCCCTTTGTTCACACCACATTCTGCTAAGGCTTCCTGGCTTGCCTATGGAGACTGTGCCCTGTTCATGGTCATAGTTATCGTAACAGCAAGGCAGTTGATTCAACAGAAACGTGAGGAGAGGCGTGGTGGAGATGCTGTAATAATAGGACTACTAAGCGGGATGGCGTTATATACTCCACCCCAGGCCCCGGCAGTGTCGCTCACTGGTAGCCGTACTCGTAAACTCTTCCTCATTGGCTTATGCCTGTCCAACCTAGCAAGAGCAGTGAGTATGATCATTGATGCTGTCGTCCACACTGAGGTTAGGGAGCACGTATGGGAGCATTCTGTCCAGGTGGGTAGTGATGAACATCATTCTAATCACCAATCGCTCTTGCTATCATCAGGGTTGGACCAACTACTTCCTCATGGTCTTCCCATCCTTGCTATTCCTATCCACCTATAGCATCGTTATACTATTCTGGGCTCAAGTAGTACTAATGAACCTCCCTCTCCTATTAATGTCTCTACAGGTGTACTATGCGGCCATCCTAGTGTCGTATCCTCTACTACGACC